TGAATATTCTGCAGCTGTTCGCGCCAGTGACAAAGGCCGCACTAGACAAAACGTACCACCGAACGTACGGGTCAGAAGAGAGGGTGCCCCGCGCACAAGAGCGGCACCGGGGAACGAGACATTCAAACAACATGCAATTCATGCGCGCTTTGCCGTCCGCACGCGGACCTCTGACAAAGAGCGACGGCACGGGCGGAGGTACGCGTCGGCGTCGGTGCTGCTGCCGGCAGCGCCTCCGAGGTCGAAGCCAAGGTAGGCGCACGGCTGCGTCCACGGATCAAACCGCCGACCGACCATCGGGTCGGCGGCAGAGATGTCGCCGAGCCCAAAGCGCGGGTTCCTCCAGAAGCGGTTGCCGGAGCTCATGATGAGCAGGCGGCGCGACTGCGCGCGGGCGCAGCAGAGCTTGCTATACGCGACGAGAGAGTGGCCTACCAAATGGACTCATCAGTCCTCCTTACTCATGCAGAGCAGAGCTGGCTGTGCGCGGCGACGCAGGCGGCCGATGCGGCGGCGCTCCTCCGACTCGTCCACCGCAAACAGCGTCGTCTGCGAGAAGCGCGTGTCGTCGGACTGCCGCCGGCGCGGGGCCACGTGCAGCAGCAGCGCCGCCGCGACGACGCGCCCGCCCTCGCGCACCACGAGCAGCCGGTGCGGCGGCGCGGGCAGCACTCGGCCTGCCGCGTGGCACTGGAGATGTGGGGAGATGTGGGGAGATGTGGGGAGATATGGGGAGTTATGGGGTCGCCTGCCGCGTGGCACTGGATCTGCGGCAGCGGCTGCCGACAGTCGAGCAGCTTGCCAATCAGCTCGACGCAAGAGGGGAAACGGCGGCGCAGCAGCGACGCGGCCTGCGCGGCGACGGCCTCGTCGCATCCCGCGGCCGGGTGGTCCTCCGCCACAAACCCGCCAGCTCCGGCGACGCGGTTGGCGCCCGAGGTGGCCGTGGAGGCAAGCGGCGCGCGTGGCGTCGGCACCGCCGCCGCCGTGGCGGCCTGCGCCGCCCTCGCCACCTTTGCCGCCGGGCGCGGCGTCGGCGGCCGTGTTGCGGGTCGGGGTCGCTGCTTCCGCGGGCGGCGGGCGAGCGTCTGCGGTACGACCACCCGCGAGGGCAGCTGCGGCGGGGGCGCCGCCACTAGGCGCGGTGAGACCTGCGGCCGCCTGCGCTTTCGAGGCTGTCGCCTGGCCTGGCCGTTCGCCTCGCTGGCGCGAATGGGCATCGGCGTGCGGACCGCGCGGCCGCCGCCCCACGCCTGCTCTGGGACGCCGCAGGCCGCGTGTGTGGCGTCGGGGTTCATGTGGCAGAGCCAGCGCTCCTGCAAAGGTAGGGTAAGGTAGGGTCAATGTCTCCACACACACACAAGGTGGCGGGGCAAGGGCCAGGGCCAGGCTAGCCCCTTGCGACTCCGCGTCTAGACGACAGGAGCCCCACGGCATTCATGGTGCAAGGCCCGGTGCGCGCGTGTGTGAGCGGGGTGAGTGGTGTGAGTGTGTCGCTCCTGGTCGCCGGGGGCAGCAGCGCCGAAGGGGAGGAGGCGCCACTTCTGGCACCCGTCGCACTGCACCCAGCTCAGCACTCCCCCCGCCGCCTCCTCCTCTCCCCACTCCTCCCCCTCCTCTCCGGCCTCCCCTTCCTCCTCCCCCCCCTCCTCCCCCTCCCCCTCCCCCCCCCCCTCCCCACCGCCAGCCCCGTCGTACTGCGCCTCGTCCTCCTCCTCGGCCGCCGCCGCCGCCGCCGCCGCAACCGCCTCCACCTCCACCTCCACCTCCGCCGCCGTATCGGCAAACGCGCCGCCGCCGCCGCCGCCGCCACCGCTGCCGCTGCCACTCACAGCTTGCAAAGAGGCCGGTACGGCCGGGCCGGGGAGTGGGGGCACGAGTGTGGTGACGCGAGGCGTGCAGCGGCGCTGCAGGCAAGGCTGGCGCAGACTGCCGACGCCTCCGAACTTTGGCATGTCGAGGCAGAAGCGACACGCGCCTGCGGGGGGGGATGGTTTGCCAGCATCAGCACGGTCCCGTGCCGTGGCACCGCGTGAAGACACAAGGGCTACGAAGACAGCGGAGGACGAAGTCTCCTTTGAGCGCTCGTGGAGTGCAAAGACCCGAATCAGAGCTCCATCTATCGGACAGCGCCGCAGTTTGGCGCCGCGCACGCCGCGCACTCGCCGCACCGCCTCTTCTTCTTCTTCCGCCGCACGAGCGCCTCGCCGCCGCCGCCCTGCACCCCCGCCGGGAAGGGGAAGACGCTGGCAGCCGCACCACCGATCAGAGGAGGGGCCGGCGGGGAGAGAGGAGGGGCGGGCTGGGGCGGCGGACGCGTCGACAGCGTCATCGACTTGGGCGGCGGCAGCGGCAGCGGCTGTGATGGCGAGGACGGCCCTCGCGGCGGCCCCAGCGGCGGCCCTGGAGGTGGCGGCGGCCCTGGAGGCAGCCCAGCCGGCGGCCAAGCGGCGGAGTGCGGAGCGGCGCCAAAGATGGCGGCGGCCACGGCCTTGTGAGAGCTCGTTGTCCCGCCGCCTGCTGCCGGAGCTGTCCCCGCCGCCGCCGTCCCCGCCGGCCTCTCCTCTGTTTGGTGGTGCGGCTGTGCGGGTCTTGCCGTTGCCGGCGGGGTCGCCGTCGTGCGGCCCGGGGGCTCTTCGCCTGC